CCCCCCCCCCTCCTTTTAACCAGTGCCGCCGGCTGCAGCATCAACGCCGATCGATGCACCCAGCTTTAGAGGAAACAAACTCAGCCACATGATAAGACGCCGCAGCGGTGGAGGAGCCTTGAGATTATAGGCTCATTCTCTGGTTCATACTGGGGGTTCTGGTGTGTGTGTATGTGTGTGTTTCCTGGTGTGTGTGTACATGTGTATAAGGGTCTTAGTGTGCACCTTGGAGTCTTCCACTGTGTATAGCAGAATTCTGGCATGTGTGTTGGTATTTTGGTGCCTGTGAGCAGAGTGTGTTTCAGTGTGTAGTTGTGTGAGTCTGGTGCATGATTTTGGCACAAAGGGAGGTTAAATTGACTGGTGTGTGTGTGTGTGTGTGTGTGTGTGTGTGTGTGTGTGTGAGAGAAAGAGAGGTGAACTCTGCCCCTGTGAGCAGGCCTGTTCTTTAAATCTGCTGGGATCAATTCTAGCCCGCTGCCGTAATGTCGACGGAAAAACTCTCAAAGCAGCAAAATGGATTTTGAGCCCTGAACTCTCTCTCTCTCTTTCTCTGTTTCTAATTCATTCAATCATTGTTTGCTTTTCAAATAGTCTCTCTTTTAGTCTGACTCCCTATTTTCTTTTCTTGTTCACACGAACACACAAACAGCATACTGGTTACGTTTGCAACCATTTAGTGTAAGTTCAGGTAGTGTGAGTGTATTTTCTGATACATGTCAGAGTTTATGCATTGCTAATATTTTAAGGTGTTGCACCAGATGAGATCATACGCCTAGCTACCTTGTAGGTGTCAAATTCCTCCTGTACAATATGGTTGTCATGGCGATCGTTTGGAAAAAGGTGCAGATCGATTACATCCGTCAGAAATGTGTCATGACTTTGTTTAGTACTCGCGCTTTCATGTTTCCATGAGCGGAGATTATTTCATCTGTCCAACAAAAGAACGTCGTTAAATCGATCTCGAGGGCTTCTTAACGGCAGTTTACAGGAGTGAATTCCAGATGTTTGTCTGTTCAGAGACAGGAGACAGCACTTGTAACAAACACTGCATTTAGAAAAAAAAATGCTTGTCACTTTTTGGTCAAAATTAAACGCCCAGTATGTACATTCAACCACCAGGGGGCTCTCAATCAAAAACATTTACAAAAGATGACGTCAAGGCTGGCGGGGAATCATGGGAGTGATTCCCCGGCCCCCCAAAACCCCAACACCTGATGAAAAATTAACTCGGATTTGACCGTTGTCGAGACAAACCTGAGGAAGCGAGCATGTTTCCCGACGATGTATCCGAGTATAATGTACATTTGAATCACAACAGCACATACAACAAAAATTTTTAAGATTTATTTTTGGGCTTTTTGTGCCTTTAATTGAGAGATAGGACAGTGGATAGAGTCGGAAACCAGGGAGAGAGAGAGAGCGAGAGAGAGAGGGGAATGACATGCGGGAGAGGAGCCGCAGGCCGGACTCGAGCCCGGGCCGTCCGCTTGAGACTACAGCCTCCATACATGGGGCGCGCGCCCTAACCACTGCGCCACCAGCACCCCATGCAGCTTGTCTGTCTTGAGGTAACATCTGGTGTTTCCTTGGCAACGATGAGGACTTTAACTGTTGGAAATATTTGCAACCAAACAGTCACAAAACGTTCAGTTGAGTGTTGACTTCCTAACATAAAGCAGGACGTTGGGCTGCAGGTGATTCAGGCTCCAGTGTTCTCTCTGCTCTGCTGGAGTTTAGTCATTTAAGTCCAGCTTCCACTCATTCCAGGTCGTTTAAAAAGGTCCAGCTTGTAACTCTGGGCTCGACATTGAACCCGGACCTCTGATTCAGGGTGCATGATCGACAGAGTCCAGGCCAGCTGCTGTGCACGTTCCACTGGCCCACTCAGGCCAGTTAGAAATACTCCAAACTGGGGCGCTGGTGGCGCAGTGATTAGTGTGCACCCCATGTACGGAGGCTGTAGTCCTCCAAGCGGGCGGCCCAGGTTCAAATCCAACCTGTGGCTCCTTTCCCGCATGTCATTCCCCACTCTCTCTCTCTATTTCTGACTCTATCAACTGTCCTATCTCTACAGTAAAGGCACAAAAAGCCCAAAAATAAATCTTTAAAAAACTCAAAACCATTTTAGAAAATAAATAAATAAATAAGCAACACATTCACATCAATGTCCTGTGGTAGCGGTGTGATGTCAGTCATTATTTTGAGATGATCTCGTTAATAACACAGATGTTGAAAGGCCGACTGCTCCAACTCCAGCTCTGATTACGTTTTTCCTACAGTTGCCTTTTCTATGAAGGCCGACAATATTTCACTGCTTTTAGATAACAGAACAGGAGGCTTTCATTAATCTCAGCATTTTAAAACCTCTATCAGAGGACTTTTTCTTTTGCGTGTGTGCATTATTTTTATTCGCCTTGCTGTCATTTATACTCATGAGAGTTATTTGTTTTATTTTGTTTTGAAGCACATTACAGAAGGGCCCCTGCTGTACAGAGGGTTTTTAATATGAATGATATTGTTTCTGTGTTTTTGTTGTTGGAAAAAAAAAAAAGTTTAGGTGAGTTTAGTTAAAAGAAAGACATCAAAAAGTAAAAAAAAAAAAAAAAACCTGAGCATAGATGGATGTTTCTTTTTTTTTTCTTCTTTTTTAGAAAAGTAAGAACACAGAAGGATAGTCGCTGTGCTAAGACACTAACTTTTTCTCATTCCGTGTGTGTTTCCAGCTGAACGAGATGATCCGCGCTCCGGTCGAAGGGGATTTCTGGCAGGTGGACCACATCCGCCCGGTCTACGGCGGAGGAGGACAGTGCTCTCTGGACAACCTGCAGACGCTGTGCACCGTCTGCCACAAAGCCGTACGGGCACACTCACCGCATCACTGCACCCATTACAACCCACAACACCAGCTTTTTAGAGCCAAACGGAGCTTAAGGGGCAAAAGCAATTTGTCTAACATTTAAGGGACCTCTCCTTTTATCCGCACATAAAAAAAAAAAGAAAAATCTCATCGCTCATGTTGAGGATCACATGGAGTGGCAGTAATGTGATACATGGTCAAACACATTGATCAAAAGTCACACCATCCCTCACAACGCCGTGTATTCACTCTAATAGCATCACATTGTGTGTGCTGTGTGACATCTTGATATATAGCATCTGTTGCTAAAAGCTATACATCAGTCCGGGGACCACTTTCACTTTCGAGCCTCTTCAGGCAGTATTTCAAAATCAAAGACAATCCTTCGACCCCGATTTTAGCGCAGAGGTTTCAAAATAAGACTTAGACTTAGACTTTCTTTATTGTCATTCAAACTTGTACTTTACAGTGCAGATAAGAACGAAATTTTGTTGCATTTGGCCGTTGTAGTGCAGGATAAAAACAGCAGCATGTATTTACATATAAAAAATAAAAAAAAAACAAACAGAGGAGTATTCATTCTCATGTCAAATAAGTTTCAAGACCTGAGATTTATTTTTATTTTTAGATGGAACATGATGTTTTAAACATACAAAAAAAACAAGGAAAAGAACTCCTTGTAAACTTTCAAGATGGCTGCCAAACACTCTCTGACTTCCCTTCTGTGACAGCTTAAAATCATGTCACCTTGTGTTAAAATCAGGTTTTTTAAATCTCGTTTTTATTATTATTTATTTATTATTTCATAATCAAAGACAATCCTTTGACCCCGATTTGAGCGCAGAGGTTTTCAAAATAAAACACAGCTTCATTATAGCCGTTAAATGTGCTTAACTTTCACGCCATGGAGCGTTTATTGTCGGAGTGGGTGTCAGTTAAGAAGGAAGCGCTTCACACACACGTTGACAAGTATGAAGTGATGTGAGGAACTGTGCGTTCTGATAAGGGGATCCTCACGCTTGTTTACGCCACCGCTCAGACACTTTAATCTTGAAATGCTCGATATATTGATCTCACTTTTCTCTTCTTGCAGATTTAACTCTTACATCATTTCTTTTTTTCTTCCCCCCCCCCCCCGCAGAGGACGGCGCAGCAAGCCAAAGAGCGGAGCCAGATGAGGAAGAGTGCTGCAGCCGCCAAGGTTGCGTCAGATATCAGCAGGTTCTTCATCAGGAAATGAGACAGAGGTTAGGAAGGGTCAGGGATCAGGGTAAAAAAAAAACAAAAAAAAAACGTAGCATCATGATTACTCACTGTCAAAAACTCACATTCACATATTAGAAACGCCGTTCAATCTGCACGAGAAGGATCAAATGTGCAGAAATCTCTCCCCCTCCGATGACATCATGGGAAACCTGCATCATCCCCGTTGCAGATATACTTTTCTTTTCTTTTCTTACATAGATTTTTATTGATTTTTTCACCATTACAAAGATCATTTAACACCCTTAGTGCTCTGACATTCACAGCTGTAACAATAGGAATACATAGAATAAAAAATTACAAATTAAATTAAATCAGGAGCAGAAAGAAAAAACCAACACAAAACAAGAAAAACTGACACTTTACTTTTAAAAAAACAGCGACCGCTGCATCAAATGCAAATTCAGCCCCCCCCCCCTCCTTTTCTCGTCCCCGAAACGTCACAAGTGCGGGTAGTTATGATTTATGACGCTCCCCTTTTTCGCTGGAGGCTGAAATGGAGCAGGTTGTTTTTGGAGAGAGTTGCGGCTATTTTGAGATTTTTGCAAACTTAGTGAAACGTAGCAGGTGAGAGAAAGAATTAGGGAGCTTTGTGATTGAACTCCTCATTGGTCGCCCCTCAACAAGTGGAGGATTGTAAATCTTCCTTCTTGGAAGATTGGATGAACGCTCCATGGTGAAATAAAAAAAAACCTATTTTCATCTGGTTCCATGTTGTCTTCTTCTTCTTTTCCCTCTCGGGCTCTAAACACAGCTCGGACTGTAAATACACCAAAGACGTTGGTTGTTCTGACAAAGCCGGCAAATCGTTTCACCGCCTCGAGTCAGGAACACTATTGTCCACATCCACGCACATACCTCCTCCTCAGCTGTGCTTGATGATCTGAACAGGGCCAAAGTCAGTCAGGAGGGCTATGTTTAGAGAGCCGGAGAGCAGGGTTGCTATGGAAACAAGGCTCCAGGTTCAGCGATGTCGGGAATATTGAATCTGTTCTTGTGAGGAGTTATACAACGGAGCCAGACAGACATCAGAAACTCCAATCAATACCAGCATGCTCCTGTGAAAACGAGGCCGTCACATTCTTCCGCAGCAGCAGCAGCAGCAGCGGCGGCAGAGTTTTACCTCCCTCGCTCTGCGCCGAGATGTCGTCATGTCACGATTTGACTTGTCAAACTCCGAGCTCAGCGAATTCCGCCATCACTGCAAAGTTTACAATTTTACTACTCTCAGCCTATCAGAGCGCGCCGTTGGAAGCCACAGTTGAAACTTTTTCTCGGAGCCCATGTGGGTGCGAGCGTGGGTGTGTGTGTGTGTGTATTTCCCCTACGGCTGCTCCAGGTCTCCACTTAATAAGACCGTTGTTCCTCTCCTGTCCAAACCGACAAGCTTTGTGAGTAATGAACATCTCCCAGGCAGCCGTCCAACAACAGCAGGTTTTCAGTGTCAGTCCCTGTCAGCAGCCAATGACTCTGATCTGCTGTTTTATTACACCCAAAAGGTGTGTGTGCATGTGTGTGTGCAGAAGAGGAAAGAAGTGATGGAGGAGAGGAAACCAGTGTAACTGATAGTGTAACTGAGTGTTTGTCTGTGTTACACCAATAAAAAGAAAGAAGAGAGAGAGGGAGTGGTGTGTGTTTGTCAGATGGAGCCATAATGAGGCAGCGCCCAGATGAAGACGTCTCATGTTCCTCCCAAAGGGGCTGCTGGGTAAAGAGCAGCGCATGCCACTGTTTGCACTGGACAACCTATCAGCCCAAAGGAAAAACATTACCACCACAGGTGATGACAGTAATAAAGACGGACTCAAATACCGACGGGCGGCCGCCGAGGTTTGCATGATTGCTCTCGCGCACACCTCCGTCTTTAAACTCAGCATCAAAGCTCACCAACTCACTTTTTCCCATCAAGTTCAATCAGCATCTTGGCAGAAATATCTGGCGGTATGTAGTGACATATCGTTAGAAAGTCACAGTATGGTGAGAAATAAAAGTCAATGAAATAAGAAATGATAAATGGCACCGCCTGAAGGATATCCAAGCAAATGGAATCCACAAGACGTGTTTTGCAAAGACAACACAGCAGTGAATCTGTCATTAAATTACCTCTTTATGCAATATAAAGCTGAAGTTTAGTAATGTTCTTGATGCTTTAAAGTAAAAAAACAAACATGTACCAGAATGCCAAATATAGTGGAATTGTTTCAGCACACGGTAACTTTTAAAGAGAATATTTGTGGAGTATTTGGTCAAAAAACGAGGACCCGTCTCGTTTAGTACGATAGTTTTAAGTAAAATATGATAATTTTAAAGTGGCAGTACGATATTAGTGTATTTTCCGTCTGGCAACACTGACTACAGTAAACATAGACAAGCTAGCAAGGTTAGCATAAAGTCGCTCACTGATGCTCTTGGCTGTCAACACGAGTCACAGGTTATGTCGGGAACTCGAGTATTTAAATAATTGAATTAATGTGTTTTTCATGCTTGAGATCCAAGTACACCTCTGATGCAAAGTATCAGTCTGATAGCTAATAGTCATGAACTACCTTAAAACATGGACTTAAAACAGCAAATCCATTTTGATAGAATAAACGTGTTTACACAACTAATATGGGGAGTAAGTTTAAAGAAAAGCAGAGCAGCTACAGTGTATTAATATAGTCCTCACTTAACACTGCCATGATTTTTTTAGATAACCTTTTAAATAAAAGTACATATTAAAGCAATTTGTAGAAATAAGACGGATAGTTCAACACATGATCTGTGTTCTTTCGTGGAAAGTTATCACAAACAATGAAAGGTAGAAAAGGACAAATCTGAGCGCAAGACATTACCTCATAGTCACAACAGTGTTTCTCAAAGTGGGTCAGGGGACCTCCAGGGGACGCTGTCACAGGGCTCATGGGGTTCTCACAGAAAATTGAGAAATAGATTAATATCACAGCAACTCAATTCCATAGGAGTTTCTCTAATTACAGACATTGTAAGAGAATTGTGTAGGGGACTGTTGGTGTCATCTTCCCCACAGAATCTCTTTTGGGGTCTGTGACATGCAGTGTTGGGGAAAGCATTGTTTCAACCAGACAGTAAACTATACAAATCATTCATAATTCAATGATGATTTGCATTCAGACAGCAAGGCGTTATATTTGGCGCCATTCCACTGGTTATTCCATTTCAACCTCGCCTGCCCCCATAATCTACTTTGGCCTTTTTCAGCTGAAGGAAGCGCCTCTACAAACCCAATCTTGTGTGACAGGTGTGATGGAAAAGGGCCAATAAAAAAGCCTGCACAGTGCGCCGCATGCAGCAGCCGCCGGCTCTCCAATCGGTGGCTGAATCCTGCTGTGGTTTGATTCCGAGCTGCCACGCTCTCCGCTGTGATCCCTCTGTGTCTGTGACCCTCCCTGCCCTTCAGTGAGGAAAAAGGAAATAGACACAAGGGAGGTGGTGCCCCGCTGCTCTCCTTCAGGAGGGAGAAAACAGGAACGGCACAGTGTCTGCCGTCCCTCTGATATTCTGTCACTGCGTGGAATGTGAACTGCAGAACCTCATTATAGGAAAATGAATGGACCTCCAGTTAGGCTTCTGTGGTTTTGTGTAACAACATCCAGAAAGCTTGTATTCTAAAAAGCTGCACCCATCGTCTGATTGAACCCTGGAGTTGGCGTTTAGGCAACGATTACTTGGCTTTATACCGTCACAGCTGATGAGAGGCTTTTTGTCTTTATTGTCATATTATCTCTCAGGATGGTGATGAGATGATTAATCATTTCCATGCTGCAGACTCGTGCTTTGCGGAAGGCTGGCACAGCTCAACGGAGCGCGACGCCCCGGGTGGAGGGAAAACGGTATTATGGCCCAGGTAATTGGTGGAGGACCATTACTCATAAACCATCAAATTAATCTCATTAAAACAGCGTCTCTGGTTTGCACTGAGGTGTTTCTTTGGGACCAAGAAGCAGTTTTCCAAAATGAGCTTATCCATCCTGATGAGTGTCAAGACAAGCAAATGATATTCCAAAGAGGAACTGCAGCTGAAGCGAGTAACAGAAAATCAATACAACCATTCCATGTAAAAAAAAAACTAAAAAAAAACGAGGCTGGCTATTTTTCCAATGTCATCCAGCGTGGTAGGGGATGCGTGGTTGGTAAAAGGATGCTTTCTCATTGCTCAGCTGGAGGTGGCTTTTGTCAAGTCCAAATTCTATTTATTCAAGATGGCTCCCTGGTTGTCTCCCAAGATGCATGGCATGCTGCGGATTAAGACCAAAAAACGCAATCAATTCACCCAGCAGGAGATCAGGGGAAATAACAGATAAGGTTCTTAGCATAATTCATACAGTCCCCAATCTGGCTGGGATTTATGTACGTCTCCACTGTAGCTCCGTCTCATTTGTATGTCGGAGCTCGTGTGGGGCTAAATTGGGCGCTTCATGTGGCCCATTACAATCAGGCTTTGTTTGGAAGGGCTCCTGTGAGGACTGGATCTGACCACATCGTTTTACAAGGCATCTGTACCTAATGCAATTAAGGACTGATGTAATCTCATCTCAGTTTTATTAGCATTTACAATTTTCTTTACAGCAGGCTGTGTCAGCATGGGCAAAAAAAACAAAAAAAACTGCAGGATTTCCTGAATGCACCAGCAGAACTAACTTGAACAGTTTGTGCATTAGAATGTAACACATTCATGGTATAGTCCTGGCAATACTTGACATCAGAGGGAGAAAGCCACACTACCGTTTTCTCCTTTCATGTGTGCTGTGTTCAGATGATTGAGGTTAAAAAATGAGAAGAAAAAAAACGCCGAGCAAACCGACCTCCAACCAACTTCCCCCTTTACATGAGCCTTAAAAGACATTCTTTTCATCTCCCGATTCAATCTGCGGCCATTGATCAGCCATCTCTCGCAGATTGCTTCCAGACATCTATTCAGTTGCTCTGTCGCCCCGCTCAGCATGACTGCGTTTCATAGGTCTTTAATGGCAAGGTCTTGCTTTTGTGCTTATATGAAAAACATTGCTTAAATCGGAAGGTGAGTTCACAAGAAGAAGAAAAAAAACAGTCTTATGTTGGCTTTTGTGGAAAGTGGATCAACTAGCTTGGAGCGTTTCTGACGCAAAAGTGGGCAAATTCTCAGATTCAGGGGGGGCGAAATAGATCATCTCTTGCCTCATCGAGGTTTTTCCCCCCTCCTCCTTTTAGCGCATGAGCCAGAAAAAAGGTCATGTCAGTTGTGTGACAAGAGTGACAGGTCTGGGGCATCATTACTGAGACTTGGAAGGTCTGTGTAAGCACCTTTGGTCACCTCAGGAGAATAGATCCCCACTGCGCTGCTGCCGGCCTAATGAGCACACACAGCAACGAGTTTAATGAGAGGAGGGCGATTGCGACCGTCTTCCATCAGCTCGCCGCTCCGTCTGAACAACATCCCATAATGCCTTGAACGACCCAACAGCGGCCCAATGCTACAGAGTCGGCAAGGAATCTGTCGAAAAATGTCCCAGAGCTGAAAACTTAGGATCCATCCTTTAAGGTCAGCGGTGGGCAACTGGCGGCCCCCATCAGCCCTCAACGTGGCCCTCAGATCATTTTTCCATATCAATTAATTGTAAAACATGACAAAATCTGCCATGAAATCATGACAACCTGAAATATGTCCTTAATAATATTTGATCACTGGTATGTTGAGTTAAATT